GCCGCGGCCTGATCGACTCAGTCTCAGACTACCTGCTCGACCGCATGCTGCCCAGGCCGGCGGCCTTCCGGCAGGGCCCTCCGCCCGCGGCGGCGCCCGTGCCACCTCAGCAGCCGCCACCTCAGCACGTGCCCAACGGTGACGCCCACGGCGGGGACGGCGGGGAAGAGCCGGATGATGTGGTGACGGGCGCCGAGGCGGCGGAGGCGGCGCTGCCGTCGGGCGCGCCGGCCAGCGGCGCACGCCCGCACGCGCCGGGCGCGGCGGCAGCCGCGCCGCCGCTGACGGGCGCCACGCAGCCCTCGGCGGGGCTGGCGCGCCCGCTGACGGCGGCGCGGCGCGCAGCGCTGCGCGCGGGCGTCAACCAGCGGTACTCCCCTGCGGTGGAGGTGTGCGAGGTGGAGGAGGTGCATGCGCTGCTGGGCAGCGAGCACATCTTCATCGCCAAGACCTGGTGAAGGGGTAAAAGGAAAGAGTCGCCGCCCACGGCACGCGGGCAGGCCCTGCCGCACACTCGACTCCACGCTCCCCGGCGTGGTCCCGGGTGCAGTGCATTTGCAGTCGCCTAAAGCCCGCCCTGGGGGCCTCTCATTTTTAACCAGCTGTAAAGGCTTGTACAGCAGCAGTTGATTTACACCTTGCGCAGCCATAGCCACAGGCACTGGAGCCACCTCGGGCACACGACCAGGCCCCCTCACGCCGCCGCCGTCTCCTGTTGCGATGCCGCCGCCGCCCCCGCGGCCGCTGCCGGCAGCTCGGTCCGCGGCGGCAGCTCGCCCACGCGGTCGAACCGGCCCTCCAGCTTGGGGGGCGGGCGCGCGGGGCGCGGCAGCAGGCGCCCCTTGGCCGCAAACCAGTCTGGCTTGAGCAGGGCGCGCAGGCCGAGCTTGTTGTAATACACTGTGGCCACGCTGCCGCCGGCCGCCTCGATGGCGGCGCGAGCCGACTCGGACACCTGGCTGACCTGCAGGCGGCGCAGGGGCAGGCACAAAGGGGCAGGAGGGTCAGGGGGAACGCGGCCAGGTTCAAATGCTAGGCTGAAGCTGTGCACTCAGATGAGACTCTGTCGAGCAACTTGCTCCGCAGGCGGGCAGCAGGCAGGGGTGGGGTCGGGCAGGCACATAAGACAAAAGAACACCAGACCAGGCGAAGGCTGGCAGCATCGGCGCCCTGATGACGGCACAGCACATGGCAGCCGCGCCTCCCCACCAGCCTGCCCATCTCGCAGACAACAAACCAACCGACAATAACAAACCAGCAGCCCAGCGCACCACTCGGGCCGCCGCCCCCGGCACAGCCCAGCCGGCCACCCACCTCCAGGTGCAGCGGGGTGGCCAGGCGCCGCGCCCCGCGGCCCAGCACCTTGACCCCCCACCCCATCTTGCGCCCCACACAGTTGCTGTCCCGCAGATCCTTCATCGTGATGATGCGGTCAGTGGGCAGCCGCCCCTCCTGCGCCCACTGCTGCACCGTGTCCAGATTGATTGGCCTGGCAGGGGGAGGGAGGAGGGAGGAAGAGGAGGGCAAGGGCAGGGAGGGAGCAGGGCGAGAGGGTGTGAGAGGGGACGGAGCGAGTGAGCAGGGGAGGAAGGGTTCGCTTCACGGATCGAAAAGGTGCAGCCGACCCGCAGCAGGTGCAGCGAGTTGGGAGGCGCCCAGGCGGAGCCAGGGCCGCTCACCGGTAGAAGCGGGTGTGCGGGTTGCGGAAGCCGCGCAGCGGCACGCGCATGCGCAGCGGCGTCTGGCCGCCCTCGAAGCCCAGCCGCGGGCTGCGCCCTGCAGGGCGGCACGGCAAGATTGGGGCCGGCGGTGACGGGGCCAGGTGTTTGGCGGGGGGCGCCCAGCAGGCCAAGTGGCGGCAGCGGCCGAATCTAGAGGACATGGAGCGCAGTAGGGCAGCCTTGGCGCATGTGGCCATGTGATCCGATTCCGATGGGACCCGGCCGCTGTTTTCCGTCTGCCGCCGCGAACGCTTCGCCGTGCTGCGCACCTGTGCGTGCCTTCTGGCCCTTGTGGCCCCTGCCCGAGGTCTTGCCTAGGCCCGAGCCGATGCCCCGACCCACCCGCTTGGTCTGCGGCCAGCAGAAAAGCAGGCCATTAGAACAGGCTGGCCGTGCACGATGTCCAGCTGCAGCAGGCAGAGGCACGCCAGGCGGCGGCCTTCGCCGAGCGGCGGCGTGCAACCCTTGGCGTTCGACCCGCCACTCACGTAGTGTGTGGCGCCTGGGTTGTCTGCAAGGGTGTTGAGCGCAATGAAGTCCCGCTCAGGCGCCTGGCGCGCGGGCATGGCGGTGAACCATCTGCAGCTCACAAGCTGCAGCGCCTGTCGGACCGCTGGGATGCCGCTGCTGCTGCCATGCCATGCTGCCTGCCGCTGAAGCAGCTCCAGGCCCGCTGAGGCCGCCGATGGAGCGACAATGCTGCCGCTGCACCGCCACAGCTGCGCTAGGCCCTGGATGAGTGACGCCTGCCGCATGGTGCACGATTGGTGGGTTGCCAAGCCCTGGTGCGCTTCTTCAGAGGGCCGTACCGCAGCCCAGTACTTCTTGGCGGGTCCCCAAGACCTGTTTCGGCAATCAGCAGCATTATCGAGAGGTCCTGATCGCGGGTGGCGCTTTCACGGACCAGGATGGGCGATTTGAATCCCACAATTGGTATGCGGCACCTTGCCAGCCTTTTCCGCAGCGCAACGCTGCTGCAACCACAGCACCGAGCCGCTGCCGTGGCCACCTGCGCCTGCGCCCCGCCATCACCGCGCTCATCACTTGCCGCCCGCCGCCACCCGCACCGCCTTGCGGTGCCTCATCTACCTCGTTGCTGGCCTGCAGACTGGAGCGCAGTGGAGTGCTTGAATCAGAAGCCAGGACATGGCATCGATTTTGCTTTGAAGCAGGTCCGCGGCTGAGCGCAGCAGCCGGAGCTGCCGCCCTCCGCGCCCGCCCCGCTGTGCCTTCAACCGCAGCTCTGGGCGGTGCCGCACTTGGCCTGCTGCAGGGCCTCCGGGAGGACGATGGGCTGTACCTGGAGAGCGACACAGACGAGCAGCTGCTCATACACATCCCCTTCAACACCGCCTGCAAGCTCTCCGGCTTTGTCCTTAAAAGCACCAAGAGCGCAGACCAGGCACGTGGCCTGCCCTGTGCTTCGCACACCCGCCGGGCACTGCCTGCCCTGCCTCCCTGCTGCCCTGTCGGCTGCTGCTGGAGAGGAGCAGTGTAGCCGCTGGCTGCCTGCCGCCTTCTGCTGTCAAGCTGTGCGCTGCCTTCGGCCCGCGCTGCTGCAGGCCCCCAAGCGGGTCAAGCTCTTTGTGAACCGGCCAACCATCGGGTTCAGCGAGGCGGCAGACAGCGCGGGCGTGCAGGAGTTTGACTTGACAGAAGCGGACCTGGAGGGGCAGCAGCTGCCGCTCAAGTGGGTGCCAGCGCCGCCGCAGGCCTGCGCCGGCCTGCTTGCAGCTTGGGGATGCAAGTGCCTGCCCCGGTGCGTCCCCCGGCCGCTCTGTGCTGCATGGAAGGGCTCACCGGCTGCGCCTGCTTGCCCGCCTGCTCCCATCCCGCTCGCCGCGACGTGCAGGTTGGTCAAGTTCACAAAAGTGCGGCAGCCTCTGCATGCATGGGCGTGATGTGCTGCTGGCGCGACAGGCCTGGGAGCCTGCTGCCCTGGCTGCAGCTGCCCAGCCACGCGACGGCCTCTAGCCCCACACATCGTCTGCCTGCTGCCACCCCTGGCAACGCACACCTGCCTGCCCCCAAGCCCCTGCTCCTGCTCCCCCCCCTCCCTCCCTCCTGTCCACCCCCTTCCCCCTGCCAGGTCAACGTGCTGACTGTGTTCATAGAGAGCAACCAGGGGGACGAGGAGACCACGATAGTGCAGAAGGTGGCGGTGTTTGGGTCGGGCGGCGACACATTCAATGTGGCGGAAATCAAGGATGTCTCAAAGGTAGGTGTGTGTGTGTCTTTTGTGGAGGGTGGCTGGGGAGCAGGCGCCGCCGCTGCCAGCTTCGCCCCCATGGGTTGATGTCGGGTTCAGGCGCTGCCAGCTTGTGCCTTGTGGAGTGGGGCAGCGTCGCCGCTGCGCTTTGGGAGCCTCCTGCTGCAACTGGCGAGGCCGTTGCGTCGCCTGCTGACCAGCA